TATAACAGGCCACAAGTTCCCCCCTCAGCCTTCTCTTTTGAAGGCTGAACAGGTTCAGGTCCCGCAACCTTTCCTCATAGGACCTACCCTGCTGTCCCTTGATCATACGAGTGGCCCTCCTCTGGACCCCAATGCCTTATTTACTGCAAACCACCAAAGTACTGCTCTGAATACAAAATGAATAATTTCCTCATGTTTTTCTTTGGCCCTCATCACCACATTATGAGAACTTCACAAACGTTAAGTTAATTTTACAAACTTCCATGTGAAGTGATAGTGATAGAGCAGTATTAGAGGTGCACCAATGCATCAGTCCCATATCGGATCAGCACCAATATAAGGAAAATTAACAATATTGGCAATCAGCTTGTCTTGGCCAATGTGGCTGATAATGTCGCTGGTAAATGCCCCACACATGTGCAGCTTCAGTACAGCAGGCAGGTGGCCAGGAGCACAGCTCAGCAGCATGGAGAGCAGTCTATTGTGAGGGAAGGGGTGCAGTGGGGGCCAACTGAGGCCCCAGCAGCAAGGGAGGGAGGGAGTGGGACTGGGGCAGAGGTAGGTACTGCCCATCTGGGGTTGAGCGCAGGATGGAGCCACAAGCAGCTCATCCCAGTGGTGCAGGGAGGGGGTGGTGGCTTCCGCTGCTGTGCTCACCCCAGAAGGGCACGGGAAACATGTGCCCCTGGATCTGTGCACAGGGTGAGGGCAGGCTGCTGCTGTGGGCTGGAGCTGGGGCGGTGTTGGGCTCTTTCCGGTGGGGGGCTGGGGTGGGCAGCAGCAATGCTGGGAAGGAGGCTATGGCGAATTTTGGGGTGGCTGCAGCCCCTTCCTGTAGCCCCCTTCCTAGCACTGCTATTGCCTGCCCTCAGTGCAGCCCAGCCCATAGCAGCAGCCCACTCTCACCCCATGCATAGATCTGGGGTCACATGTCCTCCGAGGGTGTGCATAGCAGGTGGAGCTCGCGGCTCCATCCTGCACTCTGCCCTGGCTGGGCAGTGCCTAGTGTAGCCCCACTCCCTTCCTCACCACTGGGGCCTCGATCTACCCCCCCCCCCTTCCCTTCCCCCACAACAGACTTACCAGTCAGACGCTGCTCTCCTAGTTGTCCAGCTGCATATCTGCAATTGGATCGGTATCAGCTGATATTGCTCATTAAAAATCATCCATCAGTATCCGCCCAGAAAATATCTATCAGTGCACCCCTAAGCAGTATTATCCCTACTTTACAAATTGGGAACAAATTAAAGTCAAAATTGGCAAGTATCTACTAATTTTGAGTGCTTAATGGAGCCTTCTAGGTCCTGCTTTTTTCCAAATACTGTTCATTTTTAAGGCACTTAGGCCATTGACAGACATGAACCCCCCCCCCCCCCACAAAAAAACCAGCACTTTACTAAAAGAGGTATTGTGTTAGTTAGATTCAGCTCCCCAGCGTCTGTATAGATCGGGGCTTCAGCGGGGCTTTTTGGCAATTTTATCTAATAGCTGATTCAATTAGCTATTAGATAAAAGCACCACCAAGCCCTGCTGTAGCCCCTGATCTATACAGATGTTAGGCAAATCAGGTCAAACTAACATGATGCCTCTTCTGGGCATGTGTTGCACTTGGTGTGGGGGATGCTGAGCTGAAAATAAAGTGCCATTTTTGTTTTTTCACATCTGTAAGTAGTCTTAATGTTTGTAGCACAGCTCTTACCAGCTTCCACTGCATTTGGGAGTAAACACCTCCTCAGATCTAGCCATGGGTGTCAAACGTGGAACATCCAGAAAATGAGGAATATGTAATTAGCATAAGTATTTTACCCACCTAGAATAGGAGTCCTGCATGCCTCTCTCTGGGAGGAGCATACAGGGTTGAACTGGGAAGGACTGTACAAAAAGTGGGCACTCCTGGCCTGCCTTAGGTTGATCACATAGCCTTAATGCAGGCAGCAGCATGTGCTCCTGCTGCAACCCATTCCCAATCTGGCTGTGTACAAGGCACATGGGGTAGTTTTACCTGGCTGTAGTGGCAGCAACAGTGCCCTGATTGCAAATCACCATGGTGTAAGCCAAGGCAGCACAACAGTGGTTCTCAACTGGGGTGACATCAAAATCAAAAAAGTTATGGAGGGATGCCCTGAATCTAAAAAGTTTGAGAACCATTGATGTAGGAAAATTGAGAGAGGCAGTGACATAATCCAGTTCTCTAGCCTAGTATGTTAACTCTAGGACAGACTCTAGGACAGTCCCGTGTTTCACAGCAGGCACCTACATTATTTGTATAGTTTTCCTGGTACTTAGAGAAATTTGCTGTGTAGCAGGAGATGTGGGTTCAAACGCTGTTTGGGATGAAGGGGGTCTAGACCCTGGATCTCCTGCTCCCTAACCACTGCCTATTGGGCTAAAAACTGGGAGGATCTTCCTCTGCTGAGGTGCACACAAGATGAACCTATCCTGCCATGAAGGAAATAGAATCTAAACCATGCATAAATGCTAAAAGTTGCCATTACATATTCATAAAAGTGTCATTGAGGCATGTGAAGGTGAAATTGGATTTAGTCCTAGGTGTCCTCAGGTCTTCTACCATGGCCCCCCAGTATCCCATTAGGGCAGAGGCCAGCAGTGTATGGCCTGTGGCCCGATCCATCCTATGGAGCAGTTTTTATTTTGTTTATAAAACCCAGCTATCAGCAGTATTTCAGCAGGGGGAGGGGACTTTTATGGTAACAAAGGGATTTGCACATGTGGCGGGCTGGGAGGAACATGTTGGAAGCACTGGCATGCCAGGGAGCAAGCAGTTTTATTTCAGTCTGTTGCTCCTAGAAGTTGCTAACCTCTGGTCTAGGCTGGGATTAAGGGTGGAATGAACCCAAATGTCCTTGCTGTTCTTGCTGCTTGTGGCAGGAAGCAGACAGCAAAAGAATGAACAACGAAGCTTGATATTTATATTATAACTATTTTCTTAAATCTTACATAATTTTATATAATTTAAGTAGTCTACCATCTTAACATAGGTACTGATATATGAGAGAGGGAGAGGGATGTGAAGAAGAAAAAAACCTAAATGAGTTGAGGTGGGATGGAGTAAAGTAAAAGAAGTAAGCATGGAAAAGGAATGCTTGACATTAGTAGTTGGAGAGACTAATATGATTAACCGGCAGATCTGTTTAGTTCTGGCCTTCCAGAAGTGACTGTGCTCTCACTTTTCTGGTTCAATCTTGTATATTCACCTATTGCTGTTTCTGCTCCCTTAAATACCTCACTGTTGTTTCACTGTATCTTTCCAACCAACCTCTGCAGTTCTTTCCTTCATTTTTTCCCTTACCTTTAAACAAACAAACAAACAAAAAAACCCACACAACTATTTCTTCTGTCCCACGCTTGTAAATTGAAGAGTGTGAGGAGACCTGCAAAATCAAAAAAAAAAATGCTTTTCCTCACTCTCCCAGGCCAAGGAGGGAGGTAAAAGCTGGATCATGGTTCTTTCTAGCCCTTCCTACCCTAGTCCCTAAAAGATAAGAGGGAAACCTGTAGTTTCTCTTTTACACACGCTGAAGGCCAAACTGTCTCTTGGCCCCTCTGATTGATTCTCTTCCTCAGTGCCCTGCTTCCTGAGAGAGAGCATCTGATCAGAAAGAGAGATCTCCATTGACTCTATGCTTTTTCTCTGTCAACTGACCCAGTGAAATGGTTAGATTAAGGAATGTGCTTTGTCCCAAATGCAAATAAGACAGCATTTCTGTTGAAAATGAGAAAGTATCTCTCTGCTCACACTTTGTGTCTGGCACAGGAGTGGTCCACAGCAGACAAGGGAAATAATTGGAGCAGGGGTAGGCAACAGGTTTGGCCAGAGTGCTGAAAAACTGTAATGTTTACCCTATAAGGCCCCAGTGTGCTGGCATGCCAGAAAAAAAAAAAACAGGGTGGGGGGTACATGGCAGAATGCACTGCATATTAATATAGTTAATAATCATAAATGTTACTTTTTTTTTTTTACAGTAAATATCAGGTTTTGTAAACATTCTAAACCTGGTGACAATACACAAAATTTCATATACTACCTTTGTTGTGTATTCTTTTTTTGTTAATCATGTTAACAAAGAGCCATGGGACTCTTCAGCATGGAGTGTAGGCTCAGGGTGACTTGATGGCAGCTTATAACTACATAAGGGGTGTGCATCAGGAACTGGGAGAACGTCTGTTCACCAGAGCACCCCAGGGGATGACACAGTCCATTGGTCACAAACTCCTGCAAGACCATTTTAGGCTGAACATAAGGAAAAACTTCTTTGCTGTCCAAACCCCCAAGGCCTGGAATACACTCCCCCCACAGGTGGTGCAAGCATGTACTCTGGACACTTTCAAGAAACAGTTGGACGCTTATCTTGCTGGGACCCCAGCTGACTTCCTGCCCCTTGGGCAGGAGGCTGGACCGGATGATCTTTCGAGGCCCCTTCCAGCCCTAATGTCTATGAAATCTATGTTGTGATGAGAGAAAGAGAAAAAGAGGAGAAAGAGGGAAAGAAAGAGAAAGAGAAAAAGGAGAGGAGAGAACCAGACACACATGCAAACGCACACACCCAGAACCAGACACGCACGCAAACACACATGCGTGCACATGTACACCCAAAACCAAACACACGTACATGCTTGCGCACACGTGCATGTGCAGACAAACACACTCACATGCACAGAACCACACACACACACTCTCACAGAACCAGACATCCATGCACACACAGACATGCATGCACGCACAGTGAACCATGCACACAGAATGAGGTGCATGAATATTTTCTCTTTGCTATAGCTTGAATCAAAGCTTGAAGGTAATTTCATGAAAACCAGCATGCTTCTAGATCTGTTATTCTTTGCACACCCAAACCTTCCACAGAATAGAGCGAGTTATAGCTCAGCAGGAAGGAGAGTATTTAAGTGTCATACATCTTGCACTACTATCTACAGGAGTTGGCTAGTGTGATGTTTACTAACTTTTGTTTTTTTATATGTAACAGGTCAGTGCTCCAGTTTTTGTGCCAATGGAAACTCATGAATTGCTTCATCGAATGAGTGGAAAAGGATTAGCGGCTCATTATCACTTCTCAAGACAGCCGTGCATTTATGGCGATCAAATGGTATCTGTACAAGTAACATTAACTAACACCACTGACCAGAAGATAGAGAATATTCACATAGGAGAGAAAAAGCTACCTGCAGGGATGAAGATGCATGTGTTTAACCCAATAGGTAATCAAATCAACCTTTTAAAAGAGCAAAATCCTGTTTTTGCCTAGCTAAGTCATGAAATGGAAAATATTGCATATATTGATATTCTGCAAGACATTCTTCAAGAAAATACAGTCAGTTTTTATTTAAAATATTAAAATAATAAAGCATCTATATTTTTGATCAGGTACATGCCAAGGATTTGGGTGGTTTAACAAGCTGCATTTTCTGTATCTTAAGCTAAACTGGTGGCCCATGGCTTTGGTGCTCCATCCTGTGTCCAAGGTTGGACATTCCAATCCTCATAATGCTTGGGAGAATAGAATGGAAACGACTGTACCTTTTTGTCTAAGGCATGTCCACATTGCAGTGATTGCCATGTAGGTCAACATCCCCAAGCCAGCATTCTCTTTGGTAGCTGGGGTGCTGGTAGCTGTCTAGCTACAGCAGCTTAAAACTTGGCACAGGCTTCAAGACCTACCTGAGAAGCAAGGTAAATACTAGCTCAGTTAGCCCTTACTAAAATTGCCTTGCAAGCTGCATGGGTATTGCTATTCATTGCCATTCGAATCAATCTCAGTAAATTCTAATAATGTGGTAGACTTACAGTTCTCTGTGAGATTCTGCCTCAGAGGAAAGGGGAACAGAATTCCAGCTTGTACAGAGTTCAAGGAGGAAAAGCAGAAATAGCATCATTTTAAGGAAAGCTAGTTCCTTTTCAGTGCAAACCCCTCTTCTTATAGAAGTTCAGATGCCAAAGTTACTCATCATCAACATGTTTATCTCAAATGTCATTGTTTTTCTGTCACAGAGAATTCTCCATCACTACTGTTTCCAGTGCCTCCATTGTAAACACTGCCCAGCATCCTTTGCCATCAGCTTCATCCTGGAAGCTCCTGGAATATATGGAATCTCTTTGGAATTAGCAGTATACATTCTTCCAGCCCACTGTAGAAAGCTCAAATGCTTTCCTTCTTCACCACAGACTCCATTAGTAAAGAAAGACATTATGAAGGGTGCTCTTCAGTTATTCTTGTAGCCCTAAATTCAGTCACTGAGTATTCTTTCAAACCACAGGCACCTGAGTAGACATTAAATCTACCCCCACTGTCATTGTCTTAGACATGGTCCACATCCCAGACTCCAGCATACTTCTGCATTCTTCTGAGAAGAAACTCCACCTAGAGCAATTGCTCATTGAGGAGTATACTGGACATACTGCTACTGAGGACCACATTAGGGCTTCCTATTTTTTTTTTCAGATAAACAAAAGTAATTTCAGGATCTTATTTTGGAGAACAGCCATTACTCTCCAATGATAGGGGTATCAGGCCATCTTGATGTTATGGAGTGGTAGAAAAAAAGCAAAGTTGCATTTGCCTTTCTTTTAGGATTTTCTGAGATAAAGAACAATTGTCTCCCTGCCTGGCTCTAAGTGGAATGCCCTGTGTACCCTTGTATAAGAGCATGAGTTGTTTCAGGTTTGATCAGATAACTCTGTGCTGGTCTCTACAGCCAGTAATGTTCTGAGGACAATTTATAACACCTCAGATTGAGAGGATACAGCTATGCCTACTGGTATAATTATACAGATATAATCATAGCTTTGAAGTTCAGAGTTGCTCCCAGAAGGTAATCAAATATTTACCCATTAGTGAAGAGGCTCTGGAAGAAATCAAAGTTTAGAGTCTCTGGGGTTCTGCCAAACTGCATCTGCTGCCAAAAGAAAGCCATGTTATGCAACCTTTCAGCTTCAGAAACAGTTCTCTGCTGTTAACATTGAAGGAATACCCAGTCTCAGGGGCAATACCTAGCCTCCAGTGTGTGTGCGTGTCTGTAAAGTAGCACTAAATAAAGAGCAAAATGAAAAATGTGGCAGAGAGGCAGATTCCCTTTGGCATGATCTCCCAGCCAGCAACTCACAAAGACCACTTTTTACAGATGCTTGAGCGTTTCAAACTCCATAGGGAAAAGTACATCTTGTCTAATTCTCTTCCTTTAATGCCTGATGTAAGATTATTATCTCTGATCGGGTAGAAGATGCTATTAAGGATAGTTAAGAGTTCCAGTTTGACAGCAGACTTCTTTACTGTCTTCCCCCATCTTCTTTGCAGACTATTCTCATAAGAAACTCATACCAGAGGAAATAAGCACCCTTCTCATAGGGGTGCTCTTGAGAGGGATCATGTGTAGCACCCTCAGGAATAAACTCAACACCATATTTTTCCTAATTCCAGGAAGGGAGAATCATCTGTGACTTGAAAAAACTCAGCATCCCAACCATGAAGGCTTTATATGGGTTAACACTGGGGGATATAATGGTATCACTGTCCAAAGAAATTGGTGTGTACCTCGACTTAGAAGATGCTTGCGTCCACATCAAGCAGTCCTAATTCTGTGTGGGAGTGAATCATTTCCAATTCCTTGTCCTGTTCAGTTATTCACAGTGCTTTGAGTATTTGCCAAGTAATTTTCAGTAGTTCCAGTACAAGTTAAATATATGGAGGTGGAGGACATATTTATATTTCATTTTCCTGGATAGCTAGCTTTTTATCTTTCTTTGGGGTCAGATGCATTGTAGGTGGTCTCATTAACTTAGAGAAGTCCTCTCTTCAGCCTATATAAGGAACACTTTTATTGGAGTAGGCCTGGATTTCATTCACGTTAGAGCCTTCCTACAGAAAGGGGCAGATTTCCAGAAAAGAGATACCTTGAACCTAGCCTCAGATCTAGATGGGGGGTGTTCATTGCCAGTACGTTATACATAGCCACTGGAATAGCTTGCTGCCCATACTACATATCAGTTTTCTGGAACTCAGTATCAGCTTCTTTTCAACATCAGGTGGTTCAAGTGCTCATAGACAATAGTATGATCAAGGATAAATCTAGATGGTTTTAGTGTGGTGGTAAACCTTTCCATTCCTCCTCCACTCCTGCCATCTCTAGGAGCCAGTGGCCCAATCCTGATGGAAGTGGCTTCCAAGACCCTCTTCACAAGTCAGGCAGGCAGCCAATGGCACCTACTGTACCCTGCCAACCCTAGAAGCCAAGTCTAGTCCAGACTACATCCTCCTTTTCAAAATCCTTGATCTACTGTTGAGCATGGCTGTATATTATATTGGCAAACAAAAAGGAACAAGCTCTCAAAAACTTGTCTACAAGGGCAAAAACACCATGTGTCTAGTGTGTTCATAATTATTTATCTGATAGCAGTAGTCCCAGAAGGGAAAAATAATGTACGCATAGATGCGCTAAGCAGGAAGTTGTACAAATCTTTTCCCAAAGGGGGTAAAAGTTAATCAGCCTACATGTGTCTAAATGTCAACTGCCACCAGTATTACACCTGGACTAATAGGGACAGAAAATCACAAGTGGAGAGATTCCTGTTGGATTGAAGCAGTCCCCTCGTTTCTACTTCTTTCCCTACCATTCCCTTGATCTCTGTATTCAAAAGGCAAACCAGTCAGGTCAGCTGCACTACACAGCTTCTCTCCAACTGTCTGCATTACTGCTGGTTCATCTTCCATTACTTCCAGACCTTCTTGCCTAGTGATGAGGCTGGATTCTTCACACAAACCCATAAATCGTTCATCTGAATGGAGATTAATCTGCTCACTACCATGGGCCACCACTGCTCACAGAGGATCAAAATCAAAGTTGTTACAGTCTAGGAAGAAATCAACCCTGAAATGCTATATGGATCAAAATAAACACAGATTATATAAGGAAAGACTAAAAGGATAGGGCTGTCATCCTTAAAGGGGGTGAGTATCTGCAGTTTTTAGAATATCTGTTATACTTGAAATCACAGAGACCAGTTGTACCTTCTCTCAGGGCTCATTTGGCAGCTGTCTCTGTTTACCACAGCTTGGTCAGGGATAAATCTATATTTTCTCAACTCTCAGTTTTTATATTTCCTCAAGGAATTGAACAGTGCCTGTTATTGAGGGGAATCTCAATCATCCCTATTCCAAATTATGGTACTTTGTCTAGCTCTTAAATTGCTTGCAGTTCCACCATAAACAGGCTACTTATAACATCTGTCTATCAAAACAGAGTTCTTAATAGCCATTTTTTCTGCTAGGATGATTAGTGAGGTTAGTGTCTTGATGACCACTCTACCGGCATCTACAGTTGTTTTAAGGCCTGATTCTAACTTTATGCCTCAGGTTATCTCTGATTATTTCCACTGTCACAATATACCTCCCTCCCCATTTTCTCTCCCAGAAGTCATGCCTGCCCAGGGGAGTCTTATTTATACTTACTGGGTGTTAAGAGCCCTGTAATGATGTTTAGAATCCCACAAACACTTTAGGAATTTAGAATGTGGCTTACAGGGGAAATGTACACATCAGGTTAAAGATTTGTCCTGCTCCAGCTAGTTATTACCTTCATAGCTTATTTAAGATAAGTTTCCCTGGCAGAGATTTTCAGAGCAACAGAATGGAGTTTGTTTCACAAGAGTTTGAGACACAGGATGGAGTTTGCTATTACAGAGAACTAGTTATTAGGTTTGGCATTTTGTGCTTATTCTTGTTTCAGTCAAGAGGTGCCACGTTTCATTTTTACCTAAAACTCCTTGTCCCCCACTTGCCAATTTCCTGTTACTGTGAACCCTTCACCAACAAAAAAAAAGTTACTTCCTTCAAGGACTGTCTGTCCTTCCCTCTACTGAGGAGTTCTTTTTATTTCACAGTTGTATAGTCTAGGATTAACAGCCTACAGCCCCAAGGCCAGTTTTGGCTGTAGGGCAGTTTGGAAGGGTGGGGGATTCAGAAACAGTATTCAGGAGCAACCAGGTCAGATGCATGTTGGCAGCAATTCAGCAGCAAGATCTGAGTTGCAAGTACCAGTCAGTCTTCCCCACACCAAACTCCATTATTTTGGCAGTTTTTTACTTCAAAAAGGTTGCCAGCCCCTGGTCTAGGGAGAAGGAGCTTAAGTAAATGCACTGCTGTATGTGTCAGTGGCTCTCAACCTTTTTAGACTCAAAAACAGTCCTTGGAAAATACCAGCTCTTGGCTTTTACTTGTTTTTGACTGCACAAAAATAATAGAGCAATTCTTCTGTCAAAGAGAACTCAGAAAAACCAGAACAGGTCAGAATGTTTTTAACACTATGAATTCCTATTTGAAATCCGTGGTTTTATCTTGTGAATCATATTTGCACACCCAACAGTGCCAACACTGTGTGGCTCTGGCATTCTTGAAAGGATCTTAAGGTGCCCAATGGTACCATTGTGGTAGAGAATCATTGATATATATACTGTCGAAGTCCCCCTAATGCAAGGGCACTTCTCCAAGTGGGTGCATCTTCTGTGTGTAATTTTGCAGGTGCCATGTCCTGGTAATAGGAGTGCACAAAAGCAGCTCTTAAACAACAATTAATTAGTTGGTAAGCCATCTTTAAGTTTAAAAAATAAGCTTTGTTTTCAGTGTACAGTGGTGATACACTAAGCATTGAAAATGTTTTATATGGAGGTTAACATAGTAGAACAGTAGTAACTTTTCAGGAAGCTGGCATAACAAGTTGTTGAGATTTGACCTTTAATTGGTCAGTGTCTGAGAGGAGCAATTAATAAAATAAACTTTTTGCAGTTGGCATGAAGAGAGCTTTCAAATACTGAATGAGCAAGATTAGCCACAGTGCTAGGGGTGGCATTTTTAACAAATGACTAATGTGTCCTCCTCCTATTTACTTAAAAAAGGGTCTTCTGGAACCAGGCAAAATTTCTTTTTTCTGGCTGACCTCTTAGTTATTTTTGACACTAAACTATGATCTTAGAAAAATGGTAACTGGAGGCTTAGGACAATGAGATGAAAAACCAGTTATGGTCACATCCTTTAAAAAAAATGGAATCTTTAATTATTTTCTGGACAAAGGAACATAAATGATACCTGGCTGCTTCTTCCTACTCTCTGTGGCATGTTTTTCATGCTGCTGCAACAAAATGCGGTCTTTTATTTTTCAGGGAAAAAACTGGAATCAGTTGGATTTTGATCTATAAACACGTTGCTATTAAGACATGTACTTCTAGAGACAAAATCTGAATTTGGTAATAAAGTGAATGGAGCAGTATCTGCTTATTGGGCTGTATAAATATGTTGTTAGCTTGAGCTATGTTGTCAATGTGAAGAAGCAATGGCCTCTCCACATAGAAGATTGCAACTCCATCAAAAGGGCAATTTTTGCTTTTCTCTTTTAAAATCTACAAAGAAATATTCTGAATCTTGATGAGTGAAAACTAAATAAACCAAGGAGTGCCTTGCATAAAACAGTTTTAAAAATAGGCATGTTCACCAGAATCCATAAATCTTATATTTTTGCCACTTTTTTCTCTCCCCATCAGCACCCCCCCCTCCCCACCCCCAGATTTTGAAATGGATGTGTACTTTAGCTGGTTGAGATTTCTTGACCTTTTCTGACTTGGTCCTGATGTCCTCATTTCCTATAGTATTTTTTTTCTGTTAAAATGCACATTTATTTGTGGTATCTCTTCTGCTGACCATTTTAGTTACCTCAGTTTCTCTGTGTATGTGACCTTCTGATATTATATTTACTTAAATTTGAGTTTTCTGCATTTTATTCTCATTTTATTATGGCTCTGAAGTTTTATTACTTTAAGTTTCTTTCTAATTAATATTCTACTTGTGTTTTTTTTTCTCAAGGATCCTTTCTGTACTAAGAAAATAAACTAGGTCCTGTAGTTGTACATTTGAAAACAGAAGAAGCTTCAATGCAGTCACACATTTCTATGAAAGCATCTTCTCAGTCATCTCAGTAGTCTCAACTGTTGTTGTCACTGGCAGAATTGCAACAGTGACAAATGATCTTATATTTGCTGCTATAAACACGTGTAGGGAGTTTGTTTTTCTTCTTGGGGCTGTATAAATTCTAACATAGACTTTATCTTGTAGCACCTTCTGTTATCACTTTTTTGTTCTACCTCATTTGAATTCATCTTCTATCCAAGTGTTTTCTACATTCTTCAGGCAAGGTTTTTTGAGTAGATGATTTTATTATACCACATCTACTCAAAGAACTTTGCCTGCCTATATCCTTAGACCAACATGGCTACAACCAAAAATCCTACATTCTTCCAGACTTTACTTTGTTGCAGTTAGACTTCATATTTCAGCTTGTCATTTAAACAGCTGGTCCCTGAGTTTTTGAAAATATAGAACATGCTAAAATTGGATTGGAAGACCATTACAAAAGTTTGCCTCTGCATGCCGGTAATTTGCCATATTTTCCTGTAGTGGCGTGTACCTGTCTGTTTCTGTGTATTTTCTCCTAGGCCCCACTAGTTTGTTCTCATCTGACAACCAGTATCCAACCTGTCCCTTCTGTATCAAAGGAGGGTCCAGTATCCAACAAATCATCTGCATAGTACAGTGATTTAGCTCTGATGTTCAAGAAACTAACAGTAGATATATTCCTCTTCATGCTGTAATCTACGAAGTGCCACGTTTCTCCACTGCTTGGAAGGGGGGGAAAGGGTCCATTTTACATCCCATAATCTTTCTAATCTATCTATAACCAATGCAGACAAAATATAAGGAAAGAAGCAAGCCAAACTGACTATAGAATATTTAGTATGGTATATAGTAACGTGCATTTTACTAACATTTTAAAAAATATTTCATGCTTTACATTTTGGAAACTGATCGATTAACACTGTCACTCTAAATGAAATTCAAATGAAAGAACTGCTTACAGACAAAAAGATAAGATTTGAACTTCCTGTTTTCCTTTCACTATATACCCCTGCTGTGTTAGTGCAATCCCATTGTTCTTTGACAGCGTAGCTGTAAAACTGTAGTATTAAAAATGTTTTTATTGAAGAAAGTTTCTTTAAGGACTTCTCAAAAATAACAATTCAAAATTTGATCAGATCATGCTGAAATTTAAATTAGCTGTAAGCATTTGATTTTTTTTTTTTTTCTTTTACATGTTAAACACTTTATTTATGTTTGCTAATAGTCTACTGGCAGGGTTGCATGCATGCTAGTTTATGTGTTTAAAATGCTTTATTCTAGAATCTCTTGAGCCTGAGGGATCCATTACTGTTTCAGTGGGTATTGACTTCTGTGATTCTACTCAGACTGCCAGTTTCCAATTATGGTAAGTACATTTTTAAAAAGAAGTTATAGTATTTGCATGGAAATAGAGATGAGGGAAACTATATTGGCAACTTTATGCTATTTGAATGTGCCTTGATATGGTTTTTAACCAGTTTGAAATATTATTTGAAAATGTATGGACAAAGGATTTATTGATTTTTGTTGTTTTGTTACAGAATTGCACAAAATAGTTCATAATATAATGGATATCTGAGATGCATTTAAAAAAATAAGCTATAGCTATCTTGCTTCTTTTACACCAAGACTCACTGGTTTTCTGTCATTTCTAAGTGCTAGATAAAAGTTTGATATTTTATACAAATTCATATATATTTTCATTAGTCGCCTGGTATTCTTATGGTTATCTCAAGATAAACCCAGAGATTTCAAATAGGAATCCATAAAGTCAAAAACATTTTGACCTGAGGTGGTCTGAGTTCTTTGCAAAAGAAGAATTACTCTGTTATTTTTCTGTAGTCAAAAAATTAGTGAAAACTAAAAGCTGGTATTTTCTTAGCAGCGTCTTCAGTGTAACAAGAGGGGGTGCCTTAACTGTAAAGACATTGAGAACCACTGCCTTAAAGAAATCAGCTTGTTCTGTAACATGTCTTCATTCTGTTGTGGGGTTTTTTGTACTAGTGTGGTTTGGTGACTCTGAGGCTGTAGGTGGATCCTGCCCTTTGGCATTACTGAATTTCCAGAAGCATATTTTAATGGATTCTTTATTAATGTTAACATTCAGAGAAGACACAATGAAGCTAAAGAAAAGTAGCCTGTGCACAGATATATGTGCTGTTTATCAACATCTTGGAGTGACCACTGCTCTGTTTTACAGAAGTCATCACAGGTGGAACAATTGTATTACTGTCAAAGGATACCAGTAGAAGATGTTATGACCAGGGATCTGGGTTTTCTGTTCGCCACAAAAAAATGTGACCAAGCTCAGACTTTCGCATTTTAAGGAGAAAACCACAGGAAACACTGGGTTTCCTCTTGGAGGCTGGCAGTGTTCTAGCCTGCAAGGGGCTGGGGGGAGTGGGAAGAGGGCAGGCAGGCAGGGGGCGCCATGTGCACATGTAACACTTGCACATGGCCGCCAGGCAGCCTAGAGAGCAGGTCCCCTCAGGTAAGTCTGGCAAGGAGGGGATCGAGGCCCCATAGTGAGGGAGTTGCCCTGGGCTGGGTTTGGGGCTAGGGCTGCTGTTCAGTTGTGGCAGTGTGTGGGGCTTGGGGTCCAGGACCATGTCCAGGTGGAGGGCCAGGGCAGGGAATGGGACGGAGCTGTTGTGGGGGAGTGGCTCCCTGCCACTGTGTGCACTCCTGGGGGGAGGGGTATGGGGGGGCATGTGCCCCCCAGATTTGAGTACAGGATGGGGGAAGGCTGTGGGGTGGGGGAAGGCTGCTTGCTGCGAGCTCAGGGCTCCCTGCTCTGCTGCTCTGCTCCTGGGGTGCAGCAAAGCAGGCAGGACCTGGCTCAGCAGGGCACAGCAGGGTAGGGAAGCTCAGTGCCACTACCGTGAGCCCTGCACTGCCCTAGAGAGATGTCCCCTGCCTGCCTGGCAGCAGCAGGGGTGGTGGCATGGAGTTGTGCCCGTCAGTGCTGCTGGGCAGGTAGGGCACTCCTCACCATGGCAACACGGAGCTCCCAGCAGTGGCAGTGAGCTTCCCTGCTCTGCCCTGCTGCACTGGGTCCTGTCTGCTGGGCTGCAGAGGCCCCGGTGGGGGGTAGCAGGGCAGGGAGCCCAAAGTCTGCAGTGGGCAGCCCATATCTGCCCTTCGCTCTCCCATGGGCTCTGCTCTGGCCATGCTGCCCATGGGGGAGGAGGAGGAGGATCTGGGCTCTATGCTGTGCTATGCCACAGCAGCCGCTGCCTCCCACGGTTGGCAGCTGAGGTTCGGACACTGGAGGTGGGGGGCTGTGGGAGTGAGGGGCACCAACAGGACCACGGGGTGTGGGTGGGGAGTGGAGGGTACCACCAGGGCTAGAGGGGCTGTAGGGAGGAAGTGTGGGGCACCAGCACGGGTGTGGGGGCTGTGGGTGGGGAGTGAGGGGCATCACCAGGGCTAGTGGTGTGTGGTTTGGGAGTGAGGGGCAAAGGCACAGGCAGGACACCAGCATATCAGGGCTGCTCAATGTCACAAAGCAGTACAGTGGGGACAGCTGCAGCTGGATCCACATCCTGGTGAGCAAGGGAGGCAGGGGGAGCTCTGATTTTCCATGATAAAAAACCCAAAATTAAACTCTAAAATGTATAGGTATTTATCATTTATTTTATTATAGTGTTTGGCGAAACACAGGGGGTAGTGGTAGGTTTCCAAATTGCTTTAAAATTGTAAATACATCAATATAATATTGTGTTCAACTGATACAGAGAAAAAGAGAGGGATAGAGTAGTCTTTCACTTTAATCACAGAAAAACGTGGATTTTGGAGGGGTTTAATCAGTGAATTTGCAAGTTTTAAATAGAGAAAATCAGGATCCCTGGTTATGACACGTGTTTACATCTATGTGATTCTTTAGTAGTGCAGGTACAGCAATATTGCTTCAGCTTTTTAACCCTGCGTCATTCAGGGTCAAAGTTAGCTAACTTCTATTGTTACAGGATTTTGCAGACCTGACAGTTACGCTATAACATCTGCTGCATTCTCCCACAGTGAGCAGCTAAAATGTCCATACCATGAGATTGACTGTTCTTTTTTCACAGCCTGCCTGCATGTGCGTGTGTGTGTCTGTGTCTGGGTGTGTTAAGGATTCCTGTATGTCCTGTGCATTGGCATATTATGTCTTTTCTAAGAATAAATGTAATCAACTGGAAACATTTGCTTCTTAATAGCGTTAAGACCTGTTTTGGTTAGGACTACCTCATTTTCTGCTTCTGATGCAGCTAACCCTGATGGTTCCCAAACCCAGAACGCTCCCATAAGAGCTATGTTCTATAAGGAACAGTCAGCCCATTCTATAACTGTTCCTTCCTTCCAAGTATTTTCAAATGAAAGAATAGGACATAGTTGACATGGTGTACAGGTTTCCCTCGCTTTATGCAGGTTCTGTATGTGCAAATTCGCTCTTATGTGATGACCCTTTTTATATAAAAAATTCGTTATATGCGAGGTAAATTCACTCTTATGAGGTCGGTGTGGTGGAAGCCTGCAGTCAGCAGCTTTGTGGGAGTGACATGCATCAAAATATAGTCTCCTGTGTGGATCTGTACTCCTACCTCATTGTCTGCAACGTGTTTCTGTAGTTGCTATCCCCATTATGGCAGTGCCCTGTGCTTGTGTGTACTGTCTGCTGTTGGTGAGTACCAAAATTGGCTTGTAAAGGTGCTAGAAATGGGTCTGGGGGTCAGTATAGTTGAAGTCTTGGACTGTATCCCTATTTGTTACATTGTAAAGTAAGTTCCCTTATGTGAATTTGAATTAGGCGCTGTTTTCCAGGAGCACATGTACAGCATAAAGCGAGAGAAACCTGTGCTTCTCAAGAGCTGCCCAGATGGTTCAGGGTCTCCATGTTGTAATTGTAGTGTCTGTTAGCTAGTTAAGCTACCCTCAGACTTACAAGTTGGAGAAGTCTTATCCTAATTTTAAAAAAGCAGTTGAGGAGGAATGGAAAATGAGAAGCTGGCTGGCTCAATAAAGTTCGAGTGCACCCCGCGTGTGTGATAGCTAGATAGATTGATTCATGTATTTACTTATTTTCATTTATGTAATATCTTCATGCTCAAAAGCCACCATTAATCTGAGTGCCTCATTTTGATATCAGTAAGCAGTGAACCCAAGTGCTTGCTAAAAATGCCTTTATCAAGCAGCATTTAAATTCATGCAAAACTAGCAGCAGTCCAGACTCTTGCCCAGGTCATAAAATGAGTCTGCCTTTAAGTCTTTGCCTGCTCCTTTAACATAACTTGCAAGAAATATTGGAAGCTTACTTACTACCTATACAAAACCCCATGATAATGCTAAAATCTGCTTATGTACAAATATTCTCCTGTTCTAATGTTTCTTAAATAAAAATTGAGAATGTATATAGCTATCAAGAGGGATAATATGGAAAGCTTATAAATTCTTTAAGATTGGGCAAATATGCTTTATGCATGTCATAAGCCCTTTGCTTAAGAAAGACCACTATTGAAATAAAGTTCTCTTCTTTGTGGGAGGACTTCTCATGTCGAAAACATGTTTCGTAACAGCCCTTGATATGATATTAATGTGTACACTTAATCCTGAAGTGCAGAAGTTTTAAAAATATTACCTTTCCCCAACAAGATGCCTATGACATTTGGCTGATACAATTTATACTACAGTGCTTTTTTGGATGAAGATAATGGCAGGTGGTATTCAGGAGCTGATTCAGAGTCTTCAGAATCTAAGCTTATCTTACAGAACAGCATGTTGCTGTGGTACCAGCTTTGTTCCGACATAGTAAAGGAAAAAGTTCTAGTCAATGAAATTCATAATTGCTACAAAAAGCTAACATGCTTCATTCTTATTTTTAAATTCTACATCATATTGAAATATTCACATTTTAACACACATTTACATTATTTTTCTTTAAATAGAGCACGTATTTTTTTTCTTAAATGCATCTTTTCAGTGTACTAATGATTCAGTTCCAGACTTACACCATTTATTGCTGAGAATATCTGCAGTGATAAGTATAAGCAATGTAGCATAACACATTGATTTTATGCAGATCATCACCTTTATGTTTTGGGAGGTCTGCTGTATTAGTGATATATAAAAACTGATTACTTTCTCCAACATTGCCTAGTAATTGTTTATTATTTTCCTATTAGACAAACAAGACAGATCAATATTCCTGAACACCAACCAGACTATGAGTAACATCACTGTAAATAGATTTGCCTTAGACCCCAGTGGTATATTCCTTTTAATGATTTGAACAATGTGAACCCAATGACAAACCTGAAGCTAAAACCTAAGTTTGAAATTAAATTAAGAGTAGGAATTGCTTACTTTGTTTCCTCATTAATTAATAGG